GCAAAAGGAACGAAGGGAAATCTTTCGACGATCCGGCGTGCTAACTGGCTGGCTTCTTCTTCTTCTTCACCGTTTTTTTGAATTTCGATAATCCGGAAGGAACGCGAGTAAGAGAGAAAAGCTACTCCACGAGGGACGTTTGTCTTCGAGAAATTCGGAGGAGGTGGAAAATTCTCGAGAATTGTTTCAAAATTGATGAGGTTTTCATTTCGCTAAGAAAGATGGAAATGTGTTTGGAAGAAGATATATATATATATAGATAGGATGTAAATTGGTGAAAGAAAGTGGAAAATTGTGGGGGAGGAGGGGAAGGTTCGGTGCGAAGAATTTATTATTACGAGGCGAGTGCAATGAAATTCCGATGTACGTGTTTCGTCTTTCTGGACGGTCCATCGGTACACGTCCAAACGTGTTTTCCTCTTCGAAATTTCACACACAGTGCTCCACACGCTGTTCCAGAGCACCAGCTGGAACTCTTTTATTCCCTGCCGTGACACGTTTCGACTACGGGCTAATTCCACGAAACTTGAAACTCGTCTCGTTGAACCGTCATTGATTTGGATGAAATTTCATCGATAATATTCGAAAAAGAATTTAAGTTAAGAATAAAGTTAAGAATTAAGGTTAACAATTTTTTTTTAAAGAATTTTTAAGAATTATCGAGGGACGAGGGATTTTAAGTAACGTTTAGGAAAAAATGACAGGTAACATGTCTTTCTGGGTGAAAGACGATAATCGATTTTATAAGACCTTAAGTTATTTCGAGGCGGGCGGACAGTAAGAGGATTCGCTAGCATTTGCATAATCCATCCAAGAGGAACCGTATTCAGGATGGAAAGTCAAAGAGTCATAAGCGTCTTTTGTCGTGTTTCGATAAAGAGGTCTGTTCTGCCATAATATTGTAACTATATAGCGCGATTATTTATTTCGATTAAAAGGTTAACCTCTTCGGGAAGGACACACATGTACGTTCAAGTTTTTTTCTTTTTTAATTAAATTAAAATTATTAATTTCGTTTCACCAATGGAATCTCGCAAAAAACGATTTGATTTAATTTTATTTCACCGCGACGAGTGGTTACTGTACAACAGCTTTTGAAAGTTTTATAGAAGAAGAAAAAGAAGAAGTCGAAGATACTGCCAGCGCGTTTCGAGAATTATTTTCTTTAGATAAAATTTGGTGGAAAGTTTCGAAACAAGGTGATACGAGTGATAAATGAATCTTTTCTTCTCGTTTCCACGATTCAACATGCGAGTAATCGCACAATAGAAGTTGGCCGGTGAAAGCAAACGGAGCATTATTCCAAGATTAATGCTCGCTTTGGGCGTGCATTAATTATACCATCTAATCACCTTGGCCATTACGCAACTACCCATGAACAGGATAGTCGTATGATGCGCGCCACGAAATATTGCGTAATCATTGTCGTGATCGAGCTCGAAACACGCCCTCGCGATTAATAACGCAGCCTCGTTCAAAAACAGAAGGGAGGAAATTTGATGATACACTGTGCCCCGTGTTTCGACGCGTCACGCCTTCCACTTTGAATTATCACGATTACCGAGAACGAGTGAACGCCGCTTCCGACCTTCCAGATACAAAAATAACATCGCCATCCTTCGTTTTATTACCAATTTTAATTAAGAATTTGACACGCAATGTTTACTTTTACGCGGATAAAGTGGAATATTTTATTCTGCGAATAAAAACAATATTATATTCGGTTTAATGGAAATAAAATTAATTGATCTCGTTATAAAGATATTTTCGCAAATGTCTTTCTTCTTTTAACGGTAATAATAAACGGGCCGCGATCGTTCTCTTTGGCTTTGACCACTTATTGCACTCTCGCCAACGGAACGATTCCCAATGAACGATATTTTTAAAGCAATTCAATTAAATCAATCGGAAATTTTTAATAAATATCGCGAGAGAATTAAGAAAAAAGAATTAAAAAGAAATTAAGAAAAAAACGAAAATATATAAATTCATAAAACGCAAGATTAGAATTATTCGTGATCGAATTATGCGGATTCGTAAATTAGGTTATATTGCTGGATTCAAGACGAAAAAGGATGCAAGCACCAAGAATATATATTTTAGAAACGTAATTTAGCTGGAAATTCTTGACGAGCATAGCGATAGAAAAAAATAAGATATATATAAAGTAAGAAAAAGAAAACGAAAACACGTATAAACTCCCCTAAAATGTGAGATTAGAAACATTCGTAATCGAGATGTGGATTCGTAGATTAGGTTAGGTTGCCACAATTCATTATAAAAATTTCGTGTTTGAATTCAAGATGAAAAAGGATACGAGCACTGAGAATAAGGATCACTTTGGAAACGAAGCTTAATTATATTCTTGACAATTACAGTGATAGAAAAAAATAAGATATATATAAAGTAAGAAAAAGAAAACGAAAACACGTACAAATTCTCGTAAAACGTGAGATTAGAAACATTCGTGATCGAGATGTGGATTCGTAGATTAGGTTAGGTTGCCACAATTCGTTATAAAAATTTCGTTTGAATTCAAGATAAAAAAAGATACGAGTACTGAAAATAAGCATCACTTTGGAAACGAAGTTTAATTATATTCTTGACAATTATAACGATAGAAAAAAATAAGATATATATAAAGTAAGAAAAAGAAAACGAAAACACGTACAAATTCT